CGCGGCTGTAATTAGGGCTCTTAAGGCTCAGGGGCTGCAGTCTGCCCGGGTGCGCCCAAAACCCCCCTAATATTAAAATGCAACCCCCGAAATCCAATTTTAATATTAGGGAGGGGGGGGGCGTTTTAATAATAGGGGGAAGGGATTATTTATTTATTGTATTTTTATTTTTCTTTTTATTTTTTTTTGGGGGGTGGATTTTTCCCTCCCACTTAGCTTAAAGGATTGGGGTTTAGGGCTATAGTTCTTTTTGTTGCTCGGTTTTTCTCCTCGCAGGGTCGTCTCTGAGGGTTAGCGGTCGGATACTTTGCTTCGGGTTTCGGTGTGTGCTTTTGATTGTTGCGTCCCGCCTGGAGGTTCGGTTCCGGGTCTCGACTCGCACACTCGCACAAGGAAGGGGGGTTTGGGGGGTGGGGGTTCTCGCTTGGTGCTTCTGGGGTTCAGGATAGTTCAGGGTTTGAGCCTTGGGTCTACGCTTGCTTCACAGGGCTCAAAGATGGATACTAGACGTGTACTATCGGGTACTAAGCTTACGAGTTTGGGGCCTAGTTCTAGAGTGGAAGGTCGGAACTGGGGATGCCCCAATGCATCGAAGACTTGACCCTGTTGGGTTTAGGGTTTAGGGGTTGCCAACGAGCCTGCATGATACTAAAACAAGAAACACGCAGTTCAACGATACATCCAAGTGGTCAGAGATGTCAACATGTCAACTCTCAATGCTGCTCCAAGTCAAGACCGTGCTGAGTCAACAGCCTTCTTTCCTAGAAATGCCATTGCCACCCAGAAGCTGGTAAGGGTTTACCTAAACCCCAAAAAGCAGGTAAAATAATGGTCCAGAACTCATAAAAGGCTGTTATTCTACATACTCTTGGCGTCCAGGTAGGGTTCAGTGATCCTACAGGTCTAGGATTTGGGTTTCTTCCGTTTGTATTCCAAAAACAAGTTAAGGGTCCCCGAGATGAGACTTGAGGACGAGACCCATTTGAGGAATTAGGGTTTAGGGGTTTAGGGGGTTAAGGGTTTAGGGGTTTAGGGTTTCGGGGTTCAGGGTTTAAGGTTTAGGGTTTTGGGGTTTAGGGTTTAGGATTTGGGGACAGCGCGTTGCAACTTGGTTACAGATGCCTGATGGTGATGCGTGTCCCAGACCATGTCAAGTGACAGAGATACATGTCTAGATCTAGGTTAGCCAACCTCAGGGAACCCTGAACTCCCAACCTAAACATTCCTAAGCCCTATAAACAGTCCTTCAACTCAAAGCCGAAGCGACCCGCATCTTGATCTGTGTGCCGATGGCATAGATCTGATCGATCTTGGGGAAGCCCTGCCGCCACAAGGGAATGGAAGGGTGAATGGCTGCCAAGATGTTGAGGTCGACGGTGTACACAGCCCACACCCTAGTTGTTTAAACGGTTTTTTTTGCTAGGTGGGATGAGACGGTTTTTTGCCTCCTGCATGTTTGATTAGACGGTTTAGGGTTTAGGTTTTTCAAGGGTTTGAAGCATTGTGGACGATAGCGCCGGGCCCAATGATGATGCGCTCGAACAGCACCTTCAAGCTCGACACTGAAAACCTGTATCACAAACACGCTTGACGTTTCTTGACGTTTCATTGAAAACTTAGAGGATTATATAGATATTGATTATGATGTAACAGGAGTCACGCGGTCTTTTGAGCCAAACACCGCGTGCATTCGTCACTCTTCCAGCAGCATGCAAGATATATCGAATGCTTCTTGCCAGCATTCGGGCTATTAATGGGCCGTGGTTCTTGCATGGACTTATGGCAAATGGAAGAAAATTTCCTCCCAGTCTCACGAGCACGGATTTCCCTCGACCGTAGTACTGAACTTGGACATGATTCGTGCCTGCTAGCGTTGCAAGCTCCAGCTAATTTCTCTTGTCTGACTATGTATTCGGGGTCGTATTCCATTAAGATCTTATGATGCGCGCGATTAAACTCCTTAACTTGCTTCGAAGTTTTACTGCTCTGTTTGTGCTGGAAAATGCTCTTACACCGCCCCTTGGTGACTGAACTGCCATGCGCGTTTAAGGGCACAAAACCATGAACAGGTACCTCTACGCTTCTGTATTGACTATATCAGACTGTCAGACAGCACATGGTATACCACGTGGAGCAGCTCGCGAATTATTAGCGGCTGATACCTTACAAGCCTTACAAACGTACGACAAAGCGCATCTAAAATGAAACATGAATACTACATGCCGTCGTAGGTATTGACGAAGATAGCAAATTCTCGCAATTCACCTCAGCTGTACACTGACAGCCAGCCCGCCCGTTCCTCCCGTGAAGCCTTGTTGTGAGGCATGCCCTTCAACACGCCAGTGAACTTCTTCAGCTCCTTGCATTAACGAGGCAAGGCAATGCAGCATCATTCGTGGGCTTTCCCTTCAGCAAGTAGGTCTTGAGGCGCATCGGATTTTGGTTTTTTGGGTGTATGACTCCGTGAGATCGGATAGCACATGCATTGTTCTAGAAGTGCCGTCAGGGCCTCTTGGACCCTGAATTGTATATAATCCCGCACCTATTACCCTATACCCTAAACCCTTGTATTCACTGAACCCTTAAACCGAAGCCATCGAGGTCTCCTTCTTCGCAGTCGTCATGCCGCTGAGGTTGGCCAAAGCCTCAGTGTCGCCTTCGGCAATCCTCCGGGCTCAGCTAGGGTTAGCTGTGCCCGCATTGTGGGGTTTCGGCGCTCGCAACTACAATCGGGGTTTGTGGTTTAGGGGGTGCATGCGTCTCTGCATGGTGTGCGGTCTGCATGGGCTCTGTTCAAGGCTATGAGCCTGCCTACCGAGGCAAGCAGGGTAGTTTCAGCAAAGGTTCAATCTTGTCCGTTTTCGGGTCCAACAAACCACGGCGGTTTAGTGCGAGCACGATTGACACACCGTGCTGAGTGGGCAACACGAGTCGCAGCCCAAAAATTGTGCACGGGAGCGTGGCAGGAGCACGGTGTTTGCAGGATTAAACATCAGTCGCAGCCACAGTAAGCACGGCAGCCGGGAGCACAATTACAGTTTCGGGTGGCGGACCAGCACTGGACGTCGCCGTAATTCCCTTGGAACGGCGAGAGGAGGCGAATAGTGTAATTAGCCTTGCTATGGGACTCCCAACAAATATAAAAAATGAGCGCGAGATGGTGGCGAGAACGCAATCTATGGAGCTCCGGAACACGTAAGTGTTGGATATTACAACGACTTCAACCTCCCGCGCAGCGCAGGGCTGCAATGCTAGAATCTCTTTACTCTGAACGTAAGAACCTGACAGTTTTCATTACCACACTACTGGGTGATCATATGGGATGATGATGTACTTATTCTGGCAGCTTCGGCATCCGAAACCACAGCACCTACAGTTTTACGTTGCCTCCTGCCAAGGCCACTTGCGACACGAACATCAAGCAAAAGCAAGAAGCGCACCCGCATGCCTCTGCTCGATCGCATCATCCAGGTCGTCGAAATCCATCTTTGCGAAGGCGCACGCAAAAGGCGAGGCAAAACGAGCTCAAATCGATCTAAAATGCTGCGGAATGCGGGGAGCAGACTGAAACCCCCGCCGAGCATTCAAACTGAGAAGCCAGCTAAAGGCCTGGTCCCTAAACCACCGAGCTGAGTCTGTCGGATGTCCCCTTGCTTCGGTTATAGGGGCATGTTGCAAAACTGTCGGCAACCCCTTCTGTGCGCGGCTTGGTGAAGGAAAGCCCAAAAGACTGCCACGACCCCAAGCCTCGGTTTAGGGCTCGAGGGTCATATAAGTTATAGAACAATATATATATAAGTTAAGATATATACATATACATATATATATATATGTGGTCTAGGGAGGTGGAGGGCTTAGGGATGAGTTTTTGGGCTTGTGCAGAGCGCATTACTAGAATTTAATTTAGAGTCTTCAGCAAGGTTTGGAAGAGGACCTCCCCTCTTCCCCCCCTCTCTTCGCTCAGCCAGGCACATCTCAGCGGCAGCCGCGCGCCTTACCACAAGCTTCAAGAGCCTGAGCTTCGTCAGGACGTTTTCTTTTTCACTACTTCCAAAACGAAGAGGAACCCTGGTGGCTTCAATACTACTACCCGGCATGTACTAGTTAAGTGCAGTCGTTCTGCGTCGTGGGTGCAGGGGAAGAGGGCGCCTGCCCAACCGTTCCCGGCATGCCTCGGACCTCAAACAAGAAGTCGCAGTCGTGATCGCCACAGGTGGTCTGCCGTGGTGCAGCTTTTTCGCACTTAGTGCATAGTCGAGGTGAGACACATGGCAGGGCACACTAGTCACTGTCAGATTCCGCTTCCCGGCGCAGCTTCTCCTGCACTTCGTGCTCCAGCTTCATTTCCTGATATTCAAGGAAGGTAAGATGCTTCGGCGGAGCATTTGCCTGGAAGTTTCTGACTGTGCTCTGCAGGAGCGGATCGACTGCAGCTGGAGCCTGCCCTTGTTGTGCTGGATGTCCCGGTGGGAATTGGCCAGGTTGATTTGGCATTCCAGGCATTCCTGGCGCTCCCATGGGCCCTCCGGCACCCATAGCTCCCATGCCTGTCGCCCCAGGTCCAACACCATGCTGGTGGTGGGTCTTCTGAGTTCCAACCAAATAGCCTGGAGGCAGTGGCGGCATGCTGGACATGTGCCCAGGAACAGGTGGCGGCTGCGAGGTGCCTCTGAAAGGACCCCCGCTTGGGAGCCCCATGCCCATTCCCATGCCCATGCCCACATGGCCCATGCCCATACCCTGCATCCCCGCAGGCCCCGTCTGCATCAGGTGCCTCGGGGGCCCCAAGATCGGCCGTGCCCGGTTCGACCCAGGAGCTTTCGCCTTAGGCCGGGCCCGGGACGCCTTCTTCTTGCCCGCATCCTCCTCTAAGCTTTGAAATGTCCAGGCGAAACACCATACACGGTTATCTCATAATGGCTTCTCTAAAGGGCAGATCCCACCCCCCCCCCCCAAAAAAAAAAAAGAGCAATGAAGCATAGCACCCCAGAGCCCAGTCCTTCTTGATCCTGGCCTGCATGAAGCTCGCCGCTCCCTTGACCAGCAGACCCAACCTCATTTTTAGGGTTTTTTTCCCTCCCTAAACCCAAAACAACCCTAAAACCCCCAAACCCTAAACCCTAAAACCCTAAACCGTTTTTAGGGTTAAGGGTTTAGGGTTTAGCATCCTAGGAGAACTGAAGGTTGACCTACGGGTCGTTTTCTTAATTTAGGGTCCCTTTTGGGGGGGTCCTTTTTTTTCGGGTGCCGTGCTTTTTTTGGGGGACCCAAAAAGGAACCCTAATTTAGAGAACGACCCCTATAGTCCGGCCCAGAAAAAGGATAAAAGGTGACCTACTCTGCTACTAAGCAACTGTTGCGCTGGTGCTTCCAACCTCGGAATCTCATCTGGCTCATCATCTTCTATGGGTGCTATACCATCTGCGCCTTCTTCCTCTTCTTCTTGTGGAGCCATCGACATCAGTTCCTCCATCACAGCACTCGTGGGTGCAAACAAAGTTCGAAAGTCCTCGTATGCAACTTGACCATCTCCTTCGCCCCCGAGCATCGCCAGCATTTCATCCAACTCCTGGTCAGTTGGTTCCTCTCCAATGACTGTCAGCATATATCGAAGCTCACTGACTCCGACGAATCCATTCCTGTCGAAATCCATTTGCTGGAAGGCCTCCCTAACATGCGATTCTTTGACTCCTGGCAGGCCGGCAATGTCGCGGTCCTCTCCAGGCTCTAGTTGCAAGCGCGGAATGTCCTCCGGCACGGCGACTTGAACTTTCCCCTTGCTTGTGGTGCGGCGCCGGATGTCGAGGTTCTTGCTTGCTCCTCTTCTGCTGCTATCTGGGGTGCTGTCTTGCAGCTCCAAGGCTTGAGACCGATTGCTGCTGCGATCATCCGCCTCTGGCGGTGCTGGTGGCAGCAAAGGCAAATTAGCCACACCCTTGTTCTGGGGAAATGCAACCCTTCGGCTTGCCGGATCTGCGGCCAATGCCTTCAGATCTCTGGCTGTTGACGGTGAGGCCTCTCCCTCATCCGGATCTGTGCTGTATTCTCGCAGCGCGGCTGGAATGACCGGCATAACTGAACACCGAAAAGGGCCAAGCAAATGTGATCTGGCTATGCAAGCTACCAGCGCACCCTGGATACGACTTACTTCTCATGCTAGCCCACCATGACTCACAATCAAACGTCTCTTGAGCCATCCTCGACATTTTTGGGCTGCTAGCCTTGTCGCAAAGAAGGCGTGCAACTGGGGAAAGGAGTCCACGACAAAGCCCCCTGCAGTGCTCCGCCCCTTCCTTAAGTCTTCCTTCGATGCACATGCGGGCTTCTATTATTCGACGATCACCATAGTTAATTTCTCAAAGCACTAGGGGCCCTAATAACGACAATAAGGTTTTGGGGGTACATTACAACTGTAGTTCTGCATGGTCGAAAAGGTCCTATCACAGTGTGATTATACTGAAACAAAGACCTCTACATTCGACTCCCGGCACTAATTCATTCATGAGCAGCTGAGGGCTGCCTTCGGGTATTTCCCAGCCTGTGCTTTCATGAAGCATAGTAACCACAATGATATGTCTGCCTATATATACACGTATCTTTAAACTATGTAGCCAGCTATCTGTGTATGCATCCATGTATGTATGTATTTATGCATGCATGCATGTATGTATATGTAGATGTGGTTATGACATAACGAACAACTGACTAGTGATGACAGCCAGGCTCCGAGAGTAGGAGTGAAGATGCACGACTGTGCAGGCAGACATCGGGCACGGCTCGTATGGTGTTTGAAAACTTAGAGCAAAAGGAGTTTGAGGGGGTTTTGAGATGCTGAGGGTCACACTACAGCTTCGAGGGCTTTGGACGCCAAGGTGCTGCTTGTTCCGGCATTCACTCAGCATCAACTCTGGATCACCTGCCATGCAGGGGTTTCGGCTTCATGTGGGTAACTGTTTGGGGAGCCTATGGGCAGTTCTGAGCTCTTAAAACGGCACCCGATAGTTTGGGAACCCCAAAACCGACCGTAATTTGGACAACATGTAGTGTAGGGCCTGACCTGTTTCAGGGAAGACTCGGGTTGAAGAAGGACCAAGTCGACGATAACGACGACGACCGCAAGTACGGATTCTGAAACAGCAGAGCAGATGTTTGGCTCATGTGTGTTGGCATTGCTGTTGATATTGCAACCGTCGCATGATAATTGTCGCACTGCACATGGTTCGGTGTGTGTAGTTTTACAACTTTCGCAGCTTAGGAAAGA